ACGCTGGCAGACTCCAGGAACAGTCTTCCTTGGCTGAGCAAAGACAGCAATGCTCCTGGACACAAGGCCATATGAAAAAGGGTGACCACCACCACTGCCCCAGGCCCAATAGGGTTTCCCTGTAACAGAGGGTAGGTGTGGAAGTAGATGGTTTCTGAGAGCCACACATCTGGGGCCTGTCAGAGATATACTTCCTGCCATCACCTGGAAGTATTTACTTCCAATGGGGCCTCACCTGGAATTGTTGAAGAAGGGAGGGTTAATTCCCAGAAAGGCCATTTCTCCAAATGAGGATGCATTTAATTGGAAATTTCCCATCTCATGAATGCACAAACCCAGGGCTGCCACTAGGTGGGCCTTGGGACTCACCCAAGGGCTGTGACTCAGATTTCCACCCTGAGGGTCAGCCCAAACTCTCTCATGACCAGCTGCCCTCTGCCTATTCCTGCCACTGGCCTTTTTGGACACAGACTGTGGCAATCCTGTCAGGTGGGAAAGGACCTCCCTCCCCCCAGCACACTGGTCCTTGAATCTCTGAATTCACCGTATGCCTGGGAGGACAGAAGACAGAGAAGGGAAAGAAAGACAGGTCAAGGGCTTTCGATGCTGCAGCAGTACAAAGACACAGCTGCATCGTTAGCAGCAGCCAGGGGCTGAAAAGCCACCACCAGAGAAAAGAATGGCTGACTGCACCGTGTTCTCAAGCTGAAGCTCTAAAAGGGAAACGTGCATACACTCTAGGGACACAGAAGACTCTTGAAAGTGTGTTAAGTTAAAGAAAATTTGTATAACAATAAATATACTGAAACCTTAATATATAACCCTAATTATACATCTAATACATTTACTGAAAAGGTTTACGGAGTACGTAGGCAGCAGGGTCAGCTGAGGGAGGGGCTGAGGTGCAGGATGAGTGGAGGAGGAAGGGTTTGTGTGCTGCTCCTTCTACTGGTGAGCTGATGTTTTTCAGTGAACATACTTGCAGAGCCCTAACCCTACACCTTGGTCTAGGGTTGACTTTCAACAGATCGTAGCAAAGGAGCTGCTCAGCTGTGTATGAAACATGAAGCCTGAGCCAGTAGTGGGTCAGCCAGGGATGTCTAGCGACAGGCTCCCCTCAAATGCATGCTGCATTGCGTGACTTGTGTAATCTTACAATTACAGTTAAGTGCTGCTTAATGATGGGGATACGTTCTTTTTCCCCCCATTATTGGGAGTTGTACCTAGGGGCACTTAACCACTGAGCCATATCCCAGCCCTTTTTATTTTTTGAGACAGGGTCTCACTCAGTTCCTTAGGGCCTAAGTTGCCCAGGCTGGCCTCACACTGGCCATCCTCTGCCTCAGCCTCCTGAGTTACTGGAATTACAGATGTTGCTACTACACTGCCTAACGGGGATATCTTCTGAAAGGTGTCATTACATGATTTGTCATCACAGTGTCCTTACACAATCTACGATGGCTAAGATGTCACCAGGTGACATGCAGTCTGTTGTTGGCAGATGTCCTTCCTGAGTAGTCTTTGGAGCTTCCTGTTTTCCTTATCTCTGGTGCCCTAAGGAAGAATGCTTACTTCTTCTCACTAGATTGCTGAGGACATGAACTCTGGCTCCTTGCAGCCCAGTTTTTAAGCCTGATAAGGTAAAGGACAGACACACCTGAGGTGGGGCAATGGCCTGCAGGGCTGAACTATTAGGGACTCCAGGGAGAATTCTCAGCCTCCAGAAAATGAATCCCGGCAATAGTCATCATTCTGGGAGTACCCGGATTCACCTGCCAGCTCTGGTCATGCAGGCAGCGTCCTGGACACAGTTACCTGGGCATGAACTGGAGAAGGGCAGGAGCAACACTGCCCCCTGCTGTTTCCATCATGGGGTAGTCACGGGGCACTCTGCCGGTGAGAGCTTTCCTCTCTCTGAGGAGAGGGCAGACTCCTGTGTTTGTGGGACTGGGTGGATCTGGACACACACCACCTGCTCATCCTCTCCCATCTCCCTCAGCAAGCCAGCCAGAGGGCACAGTCAGTGTGGCTCCTCCATGCTGACCCCTCGTGGGAGCATGGTGGTGACAGTGGTAACCCTGGCTTGGCAGAGCTGCCCAGGACGGGGTGAGCCTGATGAGCCTGACTCTATAAATCTAGTTCAGAGAAGGAAACCCACCTCCCTACCAATCAACTCCATGATGCCAACCCACAACAACAGAGGTGGGGAGGGAAGAACAGAAGTCCTGGATCAGACAAAGCGGAAGGCTGGGAAGGGCGGGGGAGGGAATAGGGAAGACGGAAGGAATCAGACACAAGTTTCCTGTCCTTATATATGAACACACGACCAGGCAACTCCACATCATGGACAACCACAAGAATGGGATCCTAATTAGAATAAGTTACACTCCATGTATGTAAAATATGTCAAAATACACTCCACTCACTTCTCAGAGGAGGACATACAATCAACAAGTACATGAAAAAATGCTCACCATCTCTAGCAGTCAGAGAAATGCAAATCAAAACCACCCTAAGATACCATCTCACTCCAGTAAGATTGGCAGCCATTATGAAGTCAAACAACAACAAGTGCTGGCGAGGATGTGGGGAAAAGGGTACACTTGTACATTGCTGGTGGGACTGCAAATTGGTGCGGCCAATTTGGGAAGCAGTATGGAGATTCCCTGGAAAGCTGGGAATGGAACCACCATTTGACCCAGCTATTCCCCTTCTCGGTCTATTCCCTAAAGACCTTAAAAGAGCGTACTATAGGGATACTGCTACATCGATGTTCATAGCAGCACAATTCACAATAGCTAGACTGTGGAAGCAACCCAGATGCCCTTCAATAGATGAATGGATAAAAAAAAATTTTGGCATTTATACACAATGGAGTATTACTCAGCACTAAAAAATGACAAAATCATGGCATTTGCAGGGAAATGGATGGCACTAGAGCAGATTATGCTAAGTGAAGCTAGCCAATCCCTAAAAAACAAATGCCAAATGTCTTCTTTGATATAAGGAGAGCAACTAAGAACAGAGCAGGGAGGAAGAGCATGAGAAGAAGATTAACATTAAACAGGGACGAGAAGTGGGAGGGAAAGGGAGAGAGAAGGGAAATTGCATGGAAATGGAAGGAGACCCTCATCGTTATACAAAATTACATACAAGAGGAAGTGAGGGGAAAGGGGAAAAAAAAACAAGGGAGAGAAATGAAGTACAGTAGATGGGGTAGAGAGAGAAGATGGGAGGGGAGGGGAGGGGAGGGGGGATAGTAGAGGATAGGAAAGGCAGCAGGATACAACACACTAGGATGGCAATATGTAAAAAAATGGATGTGTAACTGATGTGATTCTGCAATCTGTATACGGGGTAAAAATGGGAGTTCATAACCCACTTGAATCAAATGTATGAAATATGATATGTCAAGAGCTTTGTAATGTTTTGAACAATGAATAAAAAAATTGTAAAAAAAAATACACTCTACTGTCATGTATATCTAAAAAGAACAACAACAAAAATATCAACTCCGCGTTCTCCCACAGAACCCTGTCCATAGTGAGGGCGACACTTTGATCTCACTCTTCCGTCTTATTTCTCCGTGGTTCAGAACTCAGCAGGGGATACAGGGGGCTTTTTCCTGGGCCCTTCTGAACTTTCAAAATTAAAGTAAGTTGGAGAAGCCTAGGCTCATGTTAACAGCCAGATCTGAAGACCAGTCAAACACAGTAAGCTAACAGGCACCCGCAGGTTTCCCACAGGCTTGGCATTGCCTTTACAGAATGCCATCTGCTGGAACACACCAGTGTGACAGGGCATCTGAGGAGGAGCAGACCTGGGGCCACTCTACAAAGGAGGCCAATACGTGCCCATTTATTTTTGCTGAAATTGATGGCAGCCTGCTTGACCCTAAAATGTTTATCACCTTAAAAAATAAAAAAGTAACGTTCCTCTCCTTCCAAATCCTAAATCGTACCAGTTCAGTCACTGCACACCCCATCTAAACTGCTAAGGAGCCCTGAGAACTCAATGTCACCTGACCCTGTGCTACCGGGGCAGGGGCAGCACCATAAAGGGTACGACTGGCTCCACTGGCAAAATGGAAAACGGACAGACTGGACAGGAGGCCACGTGGACGTTAACCTACTGAAGTTCATAATTATGTGGCTGTTTTCTTTCTATGAGGTACTGGGGATTGGACCCAGGGTCTCATGTGTGCTAGGCAAATGCTCTACCTCTGAGCCACACCTCCTGTCCCCTAAGAGAATATTCTTAATCTTAAGAGATACACACTAACCTTATAAACATACACAACTCTTAAGTAGCTGTTAAAAAATAAATTTAAAAAACTCTTAAGTATTTTGCAGTAAAGAGTCATAATATATGCAATCGATCCTTCAATGGTTCAGAAAACAGATTTTATGTGTGTGTATAGAAAAAGAGAAAGCAAATAAACAGGTAATGCTAACAGTTGATGATAGATAAAGGGTATACCAATCTCCTTTGTGCTACTTTTATAACTGTCTTGTAAATCTGCAATTATTCCAAGCAAAAGTTAAAGGAAAAGAAAGAATCCCTGACTTAGACCATATAAACCCCAAAGGGCAATTCTTTTAAAAAAGAGAACGAGGCTTCCTTCCTTCTTTTCCGACTGATACCCAGGCCTTGGAGGCCTGGAGCAGCTGCCCCAGCAGATCACAACATGCCTCTCCACTCCAGCCCCAGAGACTGCATTCACTTTCCTCTTGTGGGGCTGGGGCTGTAGCTCAGTGGGAGGGCACTTGCCTGGCATGTGTGAAGCCCTGGGTTCAATCACAAGGACAGCCAAAAAAAAAAAAAAAAGAAGAAAAAAATCAAAGACAGTTTTCCTTTTGAGAGTTTCTAGGCCTCCAGATCCAGCTGCGATTCAGCCTCTTGAACGAGATTTTCTCATGCACATTCATTTTCTTTAGCTACATTCATTTTAAATTTGAGGGACAGAGCAGGGGTGCTCTGCCACAGGCAGAGAGCCTCACCGTCCCAGGCCTCGTGAAGTCCACGCTGTGCGCCAGGCTCTGCCGCATCTGGTTACTGAAGAGGCGGATGCAGACACTCTGCAGGTACTCCGGGGTGATCTGCAAAGAAGACACGGGGACATGTGGTGAAAGGCACACAACCCACCCACGGGACAGTAGGAGGCTGCTGTCCCCCAACAGCCTCTGTAAGGCACAGTGATGAAATGGATGAGCTAGAAAAAGAATCATTTGGCTTTAACTTTGGAGCTCTTGAGAAGAATTAATGCAATAACTTGACAGAAAAAGCTGATAATATATCCTGAGGTGTGATCAGAGGACATCACGCTTCAAACGGTGTAGTCTTACCTGCTATAGTCCCCCTGCCTTGGAAAATAGATTTTAAGCCATTTTTGTAAATTCAAGAAATAAAGTCACTGGGTGGCCATCATGTGGTGGAAAGAGGACCAGGCTGCAAACCTGAAGGCCTGGGCTCTAGAGAGAAGCAGCAGCCTGCCCCTTGCACTCCTGACCTGAGATGAATCAGGTTTACCTGTAGGGCCACGGCGAGGGGTAAATAGGGTCACACAATGATGGCTGGGTACATGCTGAGTGATGACAGAGACGTGATTAACAGTCAAGGGCCTGGCAACATGAGGCTGAACTGCGTCACCATTAGGGCTGCTGTTCCACAGTGCTCTTCAGAATGCCTTCACCTCGCTCATAGTCCTTGTAAGTCAGGATGGGTATGTGACATCTAAGGTGGTGATCTCTGCATTTTTTCCTTTCATCTTTTCATAAAAATAATACATGCTTATTTAAAATGTGTGAGTCCCCCACTTTCTTCCAAATCACAGCCTTCCCCCACAAACCAATCCTTAGGGGCAATTAAAAATTCTGCAGCCTTACAAACTTGTCTCTGCATCCGTCAGAGGGGAACCTCCTTTTGCACAGCTTCATAATTCCTTTGTGCTGAAACTTCCACATGGTAATGGAACTGGCTTCTATTCCTGCCCCTCGCTCACTCATCTCCACGGAGGAGGGGAGCCTAACTGGAGAGCTGGGAAGACCTGGGAACACCGGCCCAGACCTTTTCTCGCCTGCTAGGGCTCCTGCCTATACCACTGGAAACTTCTGGGCTGCTCTGTTCATTCCATGGCAAATGTCTGATCATTCCTGGACACACAACAACATAAGAAATCACAGATCACTCAGAGAAAGAAGAGCCCCACTGAAGGCTAACCTCCTACATCATCCTGAGTGCACTGCCAATGGATTCCTACAGTCTTAAAACGTAAACATTCCCTTTTTCACATATGTGCATACAAGTGAACTGAAATAATACAAGAGAAGTTCAAAAAGGAAATGAGTTGAAAGAGCTGTGGTGGAGGAGGCTTCCTACACGATCCTCTGAATCCCGTCTTTTGCCATGAACACAATCTCTTTCACATTACAGACCAGCCAGTCCAGCCTCAACACTTGAGGCCCCTTTACACCCCCGCCTGTGGTCTGCAAGCCTCTGCTCACCAACTCCAGCGATAGGAGCTCACAAGCTCATTTTGGTCACATGTCTCATCAGGTATCACATGAACCTGGCTGTAGGCGGTACACCCAGAATGAGGCAAGTTAATTTTTAATATGTAAGAAAGCAAAAGGAAGGTTCATACATTAAGAAAAACTAATTTGAAAAGCAAACAATGAACTGAGAAAAATACTTGCACTAGATAAACTGAGAGTGGCTCTACTCCAACAGCCCTGTCCAAAGCTGAACTCCTGATACCCCCACGCCTGCTCCCCACCCAAGGCCTCCCTGTCTCAGCTGGTGGCGACACCATCTTTCCAGTTGTAAAGGGTCGCCCTTGACTGCACTCCCTCCCTCCCAGGTCCAGTTCAGCATCATCTTCATCCCACATCTGGACAAGCACTTCTTCCACCTCAACCACATCCTCCTTCCAATGACTGCAACTGCCTCTGTGCTGCTCCTCCCAGTCTCCCTGCAGCACCTGTGGACGGTTCTGAGTGGCCAGGTGACTCTGCCACACCTGTCAGACCTCTCCACTTCAGCATTCTTCTACTCGGCTTCCTCAGGGTGAAGGTTGAGCCTTCTGATGGCCCCCAAGGGGCCCGCCCTGCCTTGCAACTTCTCCTCCTGCTTGCCCCCACCCCAGCCTGCCCTGGGCCCTGCTGGCCCCTCTGGCCCCAGCTCCGCTCCTTACCCACTGAGGCGCAGGCCACGCTGTGCACTGGCTGAGGCTTTGGCCTGGAACTATCTTCTCTCCACACTGTATGCTATTCCCTTGCCTCTTCCCAGCAACCCCAGCAATGAAGCTCGGTCTACCTGCACCTGTCCAAACTCGCAGAGCCCCAAACCCTGATCCCTTCATCTGGCTTCCCTTTGCCCCCTAGAGCTGTCGTCCTCTAGCTCAGGTTCTTATCTATTCTGCTTAGGTTTGCTCTTCGCCATCTGCACTCTTTACTGCAGTGCCTGCTCCCTGAGGGTGGGGTCTCTGCTTTGCAGAGTGATGCATTCCAAATTCCTAAAATAGAGACTGGCGTACAGTATGTATTTAACAAATCTTTTTCAAACAAATAAAACATATTTAAAAAGTTCAATTCCATATGTAAGGACTATAACATATATTTAAATCATGAGATAATATTTCTAACTATCAAATTTGAAAAACATAAAAATTTTAATAATAATACCCAGGGTTAGCAAGTGTTTTTTGTTGTTGTTGTTTTGTTTTTTAATAAAGAAGTGGAATCGGTGGAATCAAGTCAGCTTAACCTTCTTGAAGGATCTTTTTTGAGGGGGTACTGGGGGTTGAACTCAGGGACACTCAACCACTGAGTCATATCTCCAGCCCTATTTTGTATTTTATTTAGGGTCAGGGTCTCACTGAGTTGCTTAGTGTCTCACTGTTCCTGAGGCTGGCTTTGAACTCGCTATCCTCCTGATTCAGCCTCCTGAGCCACTGGGATTATAGGTGTGTGCCACCACACCTGGCTCTGAAGGACCTTAAGCATAAAATTCAACCTGGCAAATCAACATTAAAAAAACATAACAAAGGAGCTGGGGTTGTAGCTCGGTGGTGGAATGCTGGGTTTGATCCTTAGCACCAAATAAAAATAAATAAAATTGGGGCTAAGGATATAGCTCAGTTGTAGAGTGCTTGCCTAGCATGTACAAGGCCCTGGGTTCACTCCCCAGCACCACCAAAAAATAAAATATGAATGAATAAATAAATTTAAAAATAAATAAATAAAGGTATTGTATCCATGTACAACTAAAAATATATTTTTTAAAACATATAACAGATACCCCTCACACTTCAGATAGAGCCCTAATATCCAGAATATACAAAGAACTCAAAAAATTAAACAATAACAAATAACCCAATCAACAAATGGGCCAAGGACTTGAACAGACACTTCACAGAGGAGGACATACAATCAATCAACAAGTACATGAAAAAATGCTCACCATCTCTAGCTGTCAGAGAAATGCAAATCAAAACCACCCTAAGATACCATCTCACTCCAGTAAGATTGGCAGCCATTATGAAGTCAAACAACAACAAGTGCTGGCGAGGATGTGGGGAAAAGGGTACACTGGTACATTGCTGGTGGGACTACAAATTGGTGAGGCCAATTTGGGAAGCAGTATGGAGATTCCTGGGAAAGCTGGGAATGGATCCACCATTTGACCCAGCTATCGCCCTTCTCGGACTACTCCCTGAGGATCTTAAAAGAGCGTACTATAGGGATACTGCCACATCAATGATCACAGTGGCACAATTCACAATAGCTAGACTGTGGAACCAACCTAGATGCCCTTCAATAGATGAATGGATAAAAAAAATGTGGCATCTATACACAATGGAGTATTACGCAGCACTAAAAAATGACAAAATCATAGAATTTGCAGGGAAATGGATGGCATTAGAGCAGATTATGCTAAGCGAAGCTAGCCAATCCTTAAAAAACAAATGCCAAATGTCTTCTTTGATACAAAGAGAGCAACTAAGAACAGAACAGGGAGGAAGAGCATGAGGAAAAGATTAACATTAAACAAAGACGAGTGGGGGGAGAGATGGGGAGAGAGAAGGGAAAGCATATGGAAATGGTAGGAGACCCTCAATGTTACACAAAATTACATATAAGAGGTTGTGAGGTGAAAGCGGGGGGAAACAAGGGAGAGAATTGAACAACAGCAGATGAGGTAGAGAGGGAAGATGGGAGGGGAGGGGAGGGAGGATAGTAGGGGATAGGAAAGGTAGCAGAATACAACAGTCACTAATATGCCATTATGTAAAAATGTGAATGTGTAACCGATGTGATTCTGCAATTCGTATTTGGGGTAAAAATGGGAGTTCATAACCCAATTGAGTCAAATGTATGAAAGATGATATATCATGAGCTTTGTAATGTTTTGAACAACCAATAAAAATAAAATAAAAATAAATAAATAAATTAAAATAAATAAATAAATAAAACATATAACAGAGGTTCATCTCCAAAGATATTTTCAACTTTATCAATGACATGAAAACAAAAACCTGGGGACAACCTAAATACCTAATAGCAGGTACCTGATACTACATGAAGTGTGCCACTGCCATATGACCAAAAACCCTGCAGCCACTGAAGGTGAGACACTGCAGAACAACACTCAATGGCTTCAAGTGTGTAATTCTGTAGTATTACACAGCAGGCCAGAAAATACTGTGTGGCCTAGAATGCACTTTGGGAAAACATGTGTTATTTAAGTTCTGAAATATTGACCAGTATTAGGACTCACAATTATATGTAATGTTTCTTTTTCTTTTTGGATCATTCTATATTTTTGAAATTTTCTATAATGCATACTATCTTATAATCACATTTTAAAAGTTAGTAGAAAGAATTTTAATACACAAACTTACACTGGTAATAAAACTATATATAGTACTTAATACACACACAAAAATGAATACAAATAAAATTATGTAAATACAAAAAACATCAGCAGATTGTAGCAAGGTCTTACACTCATTGTGACACACTACAGTTTTACAAAATGTTTTCCACTGAAGGCAAAACGACAAGGGATCTCTGCATTGTTTCTTATAACTGCACCATGAACCTATAATTACTTCAATTTTTAAAAAAACTTATTCTCCACAAGGAGATTTTATTGTACTTCCTAATTTTTAAAAGTGAAATACTAAAGTCATTCCCATTATAGTCAGGGAGAAAATGAAGATGCCCATGACATCATTCAACAATGTCCTACAGGCCTTAGCCACTACTAAAGAAAAGAAAGATACTGAAACAAAGTAAAATAAAATTAAAATATCATTATTTGAAGATAGAGAATCAACTGAAAAACCTAAGCAAGTAATAGGGTTCAGAAAGGTAGGTAAATGTATACAAATCAACATGTGAAAATCAACTGCTTTTCACTATACCAGCAGGGCAAAAACATTTTTCCCACACATTTTTTTCTGTTGCCAATTTATCCTTATAACATTAAGAATTAGGGACAGAGGTTGGTGGCACATGCCTACAATGCCAGTAACTCAGGAGGCTGAGGCAGGAGGATCCCAAGTTCAAGGCCAGCCTGGATATCTTATTAAGACCCTGTCTCAAAATAAAAAATAAAAAGAAATGGGAATGTTACCTCAGTGGTGGAGCACCCCTGAATTCAACCCCCAGTGCTGCAAAAGCAAAAATAAACAAACCAAAAAATAAATAAATAAATAAGCTAGGGGGCTGGGGTGGTGGCTCAGTGGTAGAGCGCTTGCCTAACGTGTGAGGGCACTGAGTTCAATCTTCAGCAACACATTAAAAAAATAATTAATTAATTAAAGGTATTGTATCCATCTACAACTAAAAAAATATTTAAAAAAAGAATAAGTTAGATAAAGATATGATAAATAATGTGTTAGGAAAATGGGTGAAATACTGCAAACAGCATGATGAACCCATGTGAAGCATCAGCTCAGCCCCTGTCCGTGTGAACCTTTTTAAATAGAGGGGCAGGCTCTGCTGGTGGAGGAGTGGCCAGGGACTGCCCACCACACAGCCCATTCTCCAGACACCACTTCTCTCCAACAGAAATATACACAGGGATCTTCCTTACCATCTTTCCACTGACTGTGGCCTCCAGGGAATCCACCAGCTCGGCTGTGACTCCAATGAGGTTGTGGTAGTCGGCCTGGATCTTATTGTACCGCTTCAGGTACGTCATTGACCGACGCTCGGCTTCGACCAACTGCTGGTGGAGCTGCTGCAGCATTTCTAGGAAGAGGGTGTACATGAAAGCCACACACAAGAACAACAACAAAACCCCACAGAACAAACTGCTTTCTTCTCAAAGGACTATCATACCTACTTTCAGAATATTTTGCCGTAATAACAGACTTGACACTATTGTGTTTAGCACTTCACCTCTAGTTCATGCCACCTATAATTACAAAGGATTTTATAATCATTAATTTAAATTCTCTTGGTGCTGTAAGTTCAACTAAATCATCAGTGGGCCAAACAAAATCTCTTCCCTTGACTGACCCCCACAAAATTTCTAGTAGTTCTTCTATTTCTAAGGAATAGAATCAACATTTCTTTCTATATTCAGCTCACAAAACAGTGGAACCAAACCTGTGTCCTTTTCTCTGTTTTCGTACTATGAGGCTATCTGGGGATATTCCTATCCACAGGATGGTCCTCCATTTTAAACAAAAAGTGGAGTTGCTTGACTTATGCTTTAAGAAGAAAAACCCAGGGTTGGGGTTGTGGATCAGCGGTAGAGCGCTTGTCTAGCATGTGCAAGGCCCTAGGTTCGATCCTGAGCACCACATGAAAATAATTAAATTAAAGGTATTGTGTCCAACTACAACTAAAAAATTGATATTAAAAAAAAAAAAAAAGAATAAGAATCCAGGGCTGGGGCTGTAGCTCAGTGGTAGAGTGCTCGCCTAGTATGTGTGAGGCCCTGGGCTCCATCCTCAGCACCACATAAAAATAAATAAATAAAATAAAGGTATTGTGTCCTGCAGTGCTCATGCTGCTGTTTGAGAAAGCAGAAAGCCACTCCACTAGAGAGATCGAGGCCACACCACTCTGGTCACACCTAGAAAGGGCAGATTCTCATCAGTGCCAGACTTACAGTCAGCTTTCTGTCACTCTAAAAAAGAAAAAAAAAAAAACCCTAAGACAATCAACTTCAATGGTGGAGAGCCTTATTTCGGCTCACAGTTTGGGAGGGGCCAGTCTGTTGTGTTGGCCCACTGCATTTGGGCTTGCGGTAGCAAGGTACACCAAGGTAGGAGCGAGAAGTAGAGGAAGCCTGTTCACCCATGGCAGCCCAGAAGCAAAAAGAGACAGGCAGGGACCAGCATCCCAACATCCCCTTCAGGACACACCCCATCGACCCAAATGTGTTCTACTAGGTCACACCTACCAGTGGCCACCACCTCCCAACAGCACCACAGACTGGCAACCAAGCCTTTACCACATGGTCCAGACCATAGCACTACTTCTCTCCCTCTTTTTATTTATTTTTTAGTTGTAGTTGAACTCAATATATTTATTTATTTATTTTTATGAGGATCAATCCCAGGGCCTCACATGTGCTAGGCGAGCGCTCTACCGCTGAGCCACAACCCCAGCCCTTCTCCCCCTTTCATGATGGCTTCATTTGGACAGGAGATGGTGCTGGTCCCAAGACACTAACTCAGTACTGCACAGATCCAGCAGGCACTGTGGAATATTTATTCCATTTACAACAGATTTCCTAAATACAGAGAGAGATTCTAAGGTAATGACCTGGACTTAAATTCCTACTCTACCACTTTCTAGTTGGGTGACAGCAGATAAAATATTTAACTTCTCTGATTATCACTTTTTTTGGGGGGGGGGGGTTATCAGATATTAAACTCAAGGGCACCTAACTATTGAGCCACATTCCCAGCCCTTTTATGGATTTTTTTTTTTTTAGAGACAAGGTCTCATTAAATTGCTTAGGGCCTTGATAAGTTGCTAAGGCAGGCTTTGAACTCGTGATTCTCCTGCCTCAGCCTCCCAAGATTCTCACTTCTTAATCTACAACATGAGGATAATAATTTTACCTTGAAGGGTTACTATAAGGATTAAGTAAAAAACACACTCCAAGTGTCCAGTGCAATGGCTGGGATAGAGCAGGTAATCAATAAGTGGTGGTTATTATTATTTCATTTCACAGAAAGGGGTCAAAGACTTTCTGAATGTATTTCTATGCAAATAGATAACTGGCAAAAGTGCAGAAAGTCTGCATCCTAAGCAGTGGTACGCAAGCTTTGAAATACATCAGAATCATCCAAAAATAAAGATGATCAGAGCCAGGCACAGTGGTGCACACCTGTAATCCCAGCAGCTTGGAGGCTGAGGCAGGAGATCATGAGTTCAAAGCCAGCCTCAGCAACAGCCAGGCGCTAAGCAATTCAGTGAGATCCTGTCTCTAAATAAAATACAAAATAGGGCTGGGGATGTGGCTCAGTGGCTGAGTGCCCCTGAGTTCAACCCCCAGTACCCTGAAAAATTATAATAATAAAATAAAAATAAAGATGATCAGGCCTCACACTGAGACTTTGATTCTGTAGATACTCGGCGGGAGAGGGTTGTGTCCTATGCATCTATGTTTTCAACAAACTCCCCAATGACTCGATGCATAACGTAAGTTTGAGAACCAGTGTCCTAAGTTACCCATTCTTCCATGTTTGTTATGCATGCTCACACACATTCAGACTGTATTTGAAAAACTTCCATGTTTCACAATTATTTGTGCACAGAAATAACTATTATAACTATCAAAACCCAAAATATCGTTAACAACTATTTATTATTCTTATTCAGCAACCATCAAATCTCAGTGTTGAAAAATAATTTTAAAAAGTCAGCTGATACAAATTTACATCCAGTACTTGAGCTCCCAGAAAATATCCCTGGAAATGATTTCTTAAGCTTCTCCTTAAACATTACAAGGGAGAGGGACTCACTACATTCTTTCTCTTTTTTAAATGTGTGCTATCATTAAAGCTCTTCATATGTATCAAAATCAAAAATACATATATTATAATTTCCAAAGATGAAAATTCTCCTATTCACAATCCCACCTCATGGTAACAAATATGAGAATATTTTTGTGCAATCTGTCCATCTACCCCAAGGGGTAGATGAGGGACCAACTTGCAAAACCCATCATCTGGGCCATAATACCTCCCAAATCTCAACATGAGTGTCCCCAAAGCAGTCTCTCTCCAGAGGCAAATGCACAAAGGAACTCTTCCCCTTAGAAGCTCATTTTGTAATTAACTAAACAAAAGAAACCTTTGCCTTGGGAACCCAGAATTATAATTTATGACAGTTTCAAATGTGGCACCTTTAAGGAAAAGAAGAACTAACTTCCTGCGATGAGAGAAGCTAACTTCAGGATGAGAGAAGCAGACCACTGGACTGAAAGTTTCATGACCAATTTCAAATACATCATTTGGCAGAATAATCTGCTATCCAGAGACATCAGCTTGCAGACATCCCAGCTAGCTACGAACAAAGAGTAAATAAGATCTTAATTTTAGAGACTTCTTGGCTGCTCAGGGAAAAACAATCAATTTTAAATATGGGGTTCTGGGGGTGTGGCCTAGTGGCCGAGTACTTGCCCAACATGTGCAAGGTCCTAGTTTGAACCCCTGACCATGACTGTATGATTTCAGTGATACCTCGAGGTAAGCAACTTTATTCCAGAGCATTAAGCAGCACTTTGACTCTTTTCCCTATCAAAATTTTTATGAGATAAGAACAACTCTGATGATTTAGATAGGAGGTGTCCCTGAAATGTTCCTGTGTTAATGCAGGAAACGTTTGGGGGTGAGATGATTAGATTATGAGACCATGACCTAATCAGTAGGTTAATTCATTTGATGGATTAATAATCTGAATAGAAAAGCAGGTGGTAATTATAGACAGGTGGGGCACGGCTGGAAGAGGTGGGTGGCTGGGGATTATACATTTTGTCTCTGGCTTCTTACATCCTCTCTGCTTCTCGGCTGCCATATTCTGAGAAGCTTTCCTCCAATACATCCTTCTGCCATGATGTTCTGACTCATCTGGAGCCCAGAGCCAGGGAGCTGGCCGACCATGGGCTGAACCTCTGATACCTTGAGCCAAAATAAACTTTTCCTCCTCCGTTGTTCTTGTCAGGTATTTTGGTCACAGCTACAAAAAAAGCTGCCTAACACAACTAAGCCAAGATGCCTTGCCATGCACGAACTCAACTTTTAATAGGGAAATATCTTTTAGACTTTTCATATTCTAAAACTACTGATATGATGTGCACGAAAGTCCAAAGAATGCGCCTCAAGTTTACAAAAATTTGAGATGCAAGAGACATACACAACTAAAAGAACGTCACAGGACATTTTCTGATAATTCTAGCATTCAAGGAACCAATAATGAAAGTGATAGAAATTTCACCCATGATCACTCAAGCTTTCTCTGTTAACATTTCTACTTCATTTAGAGGCATTGCTTCCCACTCCAACAAAGAGTTAATGAGATTTTAATTTTAGAGACTCCTTGGCTGCTTAAGCAAACCAGGGAGTCTATGTCTCTAATAAAATATAAAAAGTTCCAGGGACATGGTTCAGTGCTTCAGCACCCTGGATTCAATTTCTGATACAGGGGAGGAAAAAAAAGCAAAACAAAACAGAACAAAAATGACTATATGGATTAAAGTTCCTTTCTAGCTTTTCATCATTACCTTTTCTGCTTGTTTTTTGGGGTGAGCAGCCAGACCTGGTTTGCTGGAACCCCTGGAATTCAGCCTATGGCAACACTGGGAGGTGGTGAAACCCTTAGGAGGGCCCGGGCCCATCTTTTTTTTTGGGGGGGGGGGGGGGGGGCAGGGGGGGGGACCAGGGGTTTGCATCTGGGGGGTGAAAACCTCGGGGCACCCCTTTTTTTTTTTTTTTTTAATTTTTTATTGTGGGTTGTTCAAAACATTACAAATTTCTTGACATATCATATTCCACACTTTGATTCAAGTGGGTTATGAACTCCCACCTTCACCCCATACACAGATTGCAGAATCACATCAGTTACACATCCATTGATTTACATATTGCCATACTAGTGTCTGTTGTGCTCCGCTGCCTTTCCCATCCTCCACCCTCCCCCCTTCCCACCGCTCCCCTCCCCTCCCCTCCTCTCTCTCTACCCCCTCCACTGTATAACCCTGAGGGTCTCCTTCCATTACCATGCAATTTCCCTTCTCTCTCCCTTTCCCTCCCACCTCTCATCCCTGTTTAATGTTAATCTTCTTCTCCTGCTCTTCGTCCCTACTCTGATCTTAGTTACTCTCCTTATATCAAAGAAGACATTTGGCATTTGTTTTTTAGGGATTGGCTAGCTTCACTTAGTATAATCTGCTCTAATGCCATCCATTTCCCTGTAAATTCTATGATTTTGTCATTTTTTAATGCAGAGTAATACTCCATTGTGTATAAATGCCACATTTTTTTTATCCATTCGTCTATTGAAGGGCATCTAGGTTGGTTCCACAGTCTTGCTATTGTGAACTGTGCTGCTATGAACATCGATGTAGCAGTGTCCCTGTAGCATGCTCTTTTTAGGTCTTTAGGGAATAGACCAAGGGGCACAGCCCTTTTTGTAGTTTATTTTGAGACAAGGTCTATTGAGTTGCTTAGGGCCTCGCTAAATTGCTGAGGCTAGCTCTGAACTCGTGATCCTCCTGCCTCAGCCTACCAAGCCACAGGGATTCCATGTGTGCACCACTGTGGCTGGCCCAGCCCCGTCTTTTCATTCTGCTTTCTGGTTCCTCATGAAAGCTCCACCCCTTGCTCCATGCCTTTACCATCAGGGTCTCTCACCACAGGCCCAAAGAAATAAGACGGCCCAATCTTAGGATGGAAACTCCAGAACTGTGAGTTAAATAAACATTTTCTCTTTATAAGTTAATTGCCTCAAGAACTTCATTACAGTGATGAAAAGATGACTCACACACAAGGTTACTAAGGACAAAACGAACACTGAAGCCTTTCACATCTGACACTACTGAAACTCTCCACAGGTGGCAGACCTAAAGTATTACTCATTTGTCAAATTGGTAAGCAGAGTTAAATAATTTACTAATATTTTCTTTCTTTAAAAAAGTTTAACTCTCTAAAAGAAGCATAGAAAAACAATGGCAGGACGTTCTGCAATATTCTCTGACATTGCTCTACTCTGAAGGGGGCAAAGGGGATATTTCACAGACCAAAACTTTCATGTAGCAAAACTCCACCTGCTGGGAGTTGAGGAACACGCCATCGATACTTACTAAAGGCATGAAGCACCACACACACCCTTCCCAACATGGTAATTCAGACACTTTTCAAAATGTAATATCAAAGACAAACCTGGCCCCAACTGAAGCCACCAATTTCATATTAACTAGTTTTTCTCACCTCGCTGGAAAATGTTCTGGTAAAAATTACTGACCATGGAAAAACATCATTTTACATACAAACTTAAGATTGGAATTTCTACTTTGAATATAAGAAATGGAAAAGATTTATAAGAATGGGTGCTGAATAAAAAAAACCCATTTGACTAGTTCAAGATAAAAGTTAAAATATTACAATAATTCCATAAGGGGCTGGGGATTTAGCTCAGTTGGTAGAATGTTTGCCTCCCATGCACAGGGTCCTGGGTTCAATCCCTAGCACCACCACCTGATAATAATAATAATAATAATAATAATAATTCCTTAAAATAATCCCATAGTGTCCTGCCTTCGGAGCTGCTACAGTCATTTATTTCCCTTGGGGACCCTATCTGGACCCTCCATTTCCCCAGGCCTTGCTATTCACTACGCAAGACTAGCTGGCAACACCAGACACCCTGAGAGCAGGCCTCAACACTGCAGATAAAGATGATTACAGAGCACTCTGTAAATATTTAAAGCCCTCATTTACCAAGTCTACAAACTCTTTCCATCGCTGTTCCTACCTCGCAGCTTAAAACCTGAATTGGCAGAGCTGTTCTTATAAAAATTTTAATCTAGATGATTTACCTTTGTTGTTTTGTCCATTCTCCTTCTGGGATGAGAAATAAGTTCAGGAAAACGAGCGTGTGGTAGACGGTACCAAAGAGGAAGAGGATTCTCAGGACAACGAAGCCCAGGTCTAAGCGTTTCTGTGAGGAGCTAAGATAGTTAGCGATGTCTCAATACTTGGTTGATTTCACTCCCAAACCAATCAGTCCTCTTCTCTCCATCGCAGTGATCACTGTGTTGGTGGAGCCTTGCCTATTCCCACAGCCTCATAAAGGCCTTCTACCGGCTTCCAAAGACCTTCCCCCTGCCGCTGAAATGTCCTAAAAATGCAAATATGCAACTTCAACTCCAAAGCTTTATCCTAAGGAAATTGAGATTGGGGTGAGTATAATGGAGCCAGACTGCCTGGGTTCAAACCTCAGCTCCCGCGTGTCTGGATGGGATACCAAAGCAAGGTATTCATGTGGGGTTTCTCTTTTGATCTCATTAAATTCTTCTTAATTTTTTCATAATAGCACTATTCACATACCATATAATTCACCTATTTATAAGGTGTACATTTCAATAGTTCACAGTACATTCACAGAGTTATGCAACCATCACTACAGTCAATTTTGTTTTGGGGTTTTTTTTGTTTGTTTTCCCTTCTCTTTTGCAGTGTGGGAGTGAAACCCAGGGTCCATACATGATAGGCAAGTGTTGTACCAATTTTATAACATCTTCACCATCCCCCAAAAGAAACCCCTTATTGACTAGCAGTCATGCTCACTTGCCCTGTTCTCCCCAGCCCCTGCCACCATTAATGTACTTCCTGCTTTCATAGATTCACCTCTTCTAGACCTTTCATATAAACAGAATCATACAACATATGGCCTTTTGTGCCTGGCTTCGTTCACTTAGCATAATGTTTTCATTATGTTGTAGCCTGAATTAGTACTTCATTTCCTCTTCTATTTCATCATATGGATACATCACATTTTGTTTATCCTTTTATCAGTTGATAGACATTTGGGTCATCTGCCCATTGGGCTTTTAGGAATGTTGCAAGTTGCTGTGTGGACATATGTTTTCACTTCTCTTGGGCATAATCTTGGTGTGGAATTGCCAGGTCATATGGTAAGTCACCTTCTGAGATAACTGAACCTGTTTTTTGAAGACTATTAATGATATGAGGAAATGGTCTCTTCATTTGATAAAAAGATGCAAAAATAAACACACATACATGTATCTGTTTTTTATAAATACTGCAAACTTCTGGGTGTATGTATGGGTCTTGGCACAGCCTCCCATTAATGCTTTGTACACCTTATAAATGTTCACAATTTATATTCTCAGATTCACAATCATTACCCTTATCTACCAGGCACCTGCAACCACTGGCTGCTCTCATTCTGCAGGGGCTCCCACTGCTTCAAAAGGATACGTAGATTGTCAAAAGCCTTGGCGTGTTGTTTGCTTTAAAAATTAAAGCCAGAAACTTTTCCAGCTTCAACTTTAACTCTGGAGTCCAAGAGTCCTGGAGACAAAGAAAAAAAAATAAAAATAGTACCCCACTAAATGCCAGCAGTACCATCAAGTTGGGGTCATTTGGTTAAGAGCCCTGCTAGTTACAGAAACCAAAAGCAAGGGATCTTGGCAGAGATGTGAGAATGTAGAAACAGGTTCTAGGACATATGACCAATTCAGTTACAGAAGACTCAAGAATTCACAGCACGGAAAAAACAATTCAGTACATGATCTGAATATTTCATGTGATTTAAACACAAGCATGACAAGTGACCTTATTAGGTTGAATACCAAAAATAATTATGGTTTAGGCATGCATGGCGCTGGTAGGCATAACACAAACAATTATCGCTAAGTTACTGATGGTTCCAAAGAAAGAAACTCATTTTCATAGAACTTGCCTTCATATAAAGAAAGAATAGAGGTCATTATCTGAAACAAATACGTCCTATCATGTCAAGCAGTTATGATATGCTCCTTGAAAATAATATATTGAAAATAACACTCATTAAAGAAGGAAAAAATAATAAAAGAAAAAGTGTGACAAGTACCAATCTTTCAGAACAATTTTCTTCATACACTTCATACAAAAATAACTTCCACTCAAACCAAGAATTTCATAAAAAAGACGCTCTCCCAGTAAAACACTCACATCCACCTGCCTGGTGGATCCTGCCGTCGCCCTCAGACTGTCCCATCCTTCCCTCTCTCTCCTCTCCAGCTCTGGATCCAATCACTCTATCCTATGCCATTTAGTAACAATACAATATAAATGAACACGTATTCCTAAATTTTGAAAAGATTTGTTCATTTTTTGACACTATGTGATCATTTTGTTTATAACGTGTTGTCGTGGGTTGAACCGTATCCCCCCAGAAGACGTGTGGAAGCCCTAATCCCTGGTATCTCATGAGGTCTTTGGGGAAGGGGCCACTGCAGATGTAATTACAGTTAGGAGAGGTCACACTGGCACGGGGTGGACAATTAATTCAATGTGACTGGTGCCCTTACAGGAACAAGGAAATTCAGACAAAGGAAACATGAAGAGAGAAGTAGACCATGCAAGATGGAGACGGAGGCTGCAGCAATGCAGGCTCAAGCCAAGGGCCACCCAGAAGCAACCAAAGCTGGAGGAAGAAAGGCAGGATGCTCCCCCAGAACCTCCAAAGGCCGGCAGCCTGCACACACCTCGACCTTAACCATGCCCAGTCTCCCGAACTGAAAGACCATAGATTTCTGTGGTTTCAGCCACAGGGTCCTTGGTTCTCTGTTGGGGCATCCTTAGGAGGGCAAACATGGCATCTAGAGCTCAGGGCTCTCTGCACTTGACCATCTGGAAAAGAACCTCGGAGAGGACTGTTGTGTCTCAACATGAATTGAGACTTCTTAAAAACAAAACAAAGTATTTGTAGAGCTCCAGTTAGGCTGCTCTGTTTTGGTTACCATTTTGAAAAACCAACAAATAATGTATTTCCAATTGGTTACCTCCCCAGTGATGCTCTGCTAATGACAGGCTTAAGACTGGGGTAAAATCTCTCTGGGGATGAACCCCCCATTTTTTTTTTCTCAACTGTTATTTTTCCTGTGCTTTCAGCTCTGAGAACATTTCCCAAGTCTGATGGGCAACTTGACCACCATAATTCCAAAAATAAGCATAAAGAGCCAGGAGAAGCCCTGGGTCGGCTCTGCTGAATGATCTAGAAAAAGCCACTCACCCTTTTTCTCTCACGGTTTCTTCCCTTATAGAATGCAGGCTTTTAAGTAGATTAGTCTGGCTGTAAAACAGACTCTTCACATGACAGGGAACCTTTACTTAGGACCCTGATACAATGAGTCACGGCAGCATTACTATGGGAGTGAGGAAGGCCCAGGGCTCACCCCCTGGTTTACCTGGGGCTTCCTTTCTGTCCCTTACAGAGACTACAAGGCTCCTCCCCACTTCTTCAGATGTTCCCTAATCAAGCATATAGTGGTCCCTAGCACAGAATAGGTGTCCAGAAGTTTTTCCTAAAGTTATCAATTACAGAAATTCATAAGTATTTCTGCAGAAGGATGATCCTAAACTGAGTTTGCAAATAGAACTCATTACAATACCTATGAAGGAATTTCCTGTCAACACTGCAGAAGGGATAATATAAAAAAGCAATTAAAAGAACTCTTTGAAAAAAAGGCCATAGTTTTTAAATGCACCCAAGTGTCAAGGAAGGAACTGCAGAGGACAAAATGAAATGAAAGCAGGAACCCCAAGAGTTAAGGAACATCGAAGACAGTGTTTTTGCTGTAAGGATAACTGCAGAATGTTGAAGACCTTGAACTTCAGTTCTGAGAGTTGTCATGAGTACATAAGATGGAAAACATAAGATCTGCTCATATTACATAATCTAAAGGAGACCCCAGAACAAACCCAGGACTCCAAAGGGCTGTAGCATAAGTAAAATGTTATGGATAATAAACTCATTGTACAGAAAGAACCAGTATTGACCTTGACACTGGGTGGAAGGAGGGAAAAGCCTAATTTGAGATTTCACAACCACACTCCGTACCATGAGCTGAGACTGACACTACCTGGGTTGTCCCCAAAACTACTGCAAATAATCTGATTTCAAATGGTCCTAGGTTGGTATGCCCCCCGTGACTGGAAGATGCCAATAAAAATCTTCTTTGGAAGAACCAAATCGCATCCAGGCCTCAAAGAAATTCTTTCCAGTTCCAAGTAAAATAAACTCATCAACACTTTTTTTTTTTTTTAAAGAGAAATAAGTCACTGTCAGAGCAGCAGAAATAGACATAGTAGAACCAAATTTACACAGACTTTTGGTATTGAAATTCACAGAGAATATGAGATAAATGTTTAATATGTCAAAGAAATAAGAAAGCAAGAAATAAGAGTATAAAAATGACCCAGCAAATCTGAATAAAAACAACAACAACAAAAACCCTTCTATCTTAACACGTTAATAAAGTAGCCAGGCATAGTCATGCATGCCTGTACTCTCAGCAACTCAGGAGGCTGAGGCAGCAGGAGGATCACAAATTTGAGGCCAGTCTCAGCAACTTAGGGAGATCCTGTCTCAAAATAAAACATAAAAAGGCTGCGGGTGTAGCTTCATGATAAAGTGCCCCTGCATTCAATCCCCAGTGCCACACATGCACAAAAAGTTAATAAGTGAAATCACAAATTCAATGAGAAGAACAGATTAATCACAGCTGAAGAATAAATTTGTGAACTGAAATATAAATGTGAATAAATTGCCCAAAACATAGCCAGAGAGATCAAGAAATGGAAAATATATGCTGTTAAAAGACAAGGAAGGGGCTGGGGTTGTGGCTCAGTGGTTGAGCACTCGCCTAGCTCGTGCGAGGCCCTGGGTTCGATCCCCAGTACCACATAAAAACAAATAAACAAATTAAAGGTATTGTGTACAACTAAGAAATAAATATTAAAAATAAATAAATAAACAAATAAAAGAAAGGCATTCTATCCATCTATGACTACAAAAAAAAAAAATTAAAAGAAAAAAAAAAGACAAGGAAGATGCCAGGCATGGTGGCACACGCCTGTAATCCCAGGGGCTTGGGAGGCTGAGACAGGAGAATCCTGAGTTCAAAGCCAGCCTCAGAATCAGCAAGGCACTATGCAACTCAGTGAGACCCTGGCTCTAAATAAAACACAAAATAGGGCTGGGGATGTGGCTCAGTGGTCAAGTGCCCCTGAGTTCAATCCCCAGTACCCAAAATAAAACACAAGTAAGGCCCAAAAATGTAAATGTAGATCACACTACTTCACACTACTGAAATACACACTTTAAAATGGTTAAAATGGCCGGGCACAGTGGTGCACACCTGTAATCCCAACAGCTGGGGAGGCTGAGACAGGAGGATCATGAGTTCAGCTAGCCTCAGCAAAAAAAGTGAGGTGCTAAGCAACTCAGTGAGACCCTGTCTCTAAATAAAATACAAAATAGGGCTGGGATGTGGCTCAGTGTCAAGTGCTGCTGAGTTCAATTCCCGGTGCCCCCCCCCCAAAAAAAATTGGTCAAAACGGTAAATTTTATATGTATTTGACCACAATTTTTAAAAATGAAAAAGAAAAAAGCAGACACAATAAATAGTCTGATGTTGTACAAGAGATGTAGCTCCATAATCGAGCACCTACCTGTCTCATGTGGACAAGACCCTAGGTTCAATCCCCAGCACTAAAAAAAAGAAATGCATTCAACCTGATCAGATATTCAGAGGAGAGACGAAGACAATGGGGAAGAGGTAATACATGAAGAGATAAGAACTGAAAATTTTCCAGAGTTGTTGAAAGACGCAAAAACAGTACATCCAGGAAGTCCAATAAATCTCAAGTGAAAATAGAAATCTATCCCTGGACACAAAGAAGTGAAACTATACCATCCCAAAGGTCAGAGAAAAAATATAGATCGCCTCTACAGGAACAGCACTTAGGGTGACAGCCAACTTCAAAGCAGCAACAATGAGAGCCAGGAGACTGTGCAGTGCAGTGAAGTTTTAAACATAATCGAAGTCTCCCTTCAATCCTTACATACAACATGATTTAAGAGGTTATTATATTTTAAAGTATTTCTGATCGGGTGTCAACATACTTAATATACAAATAAAATATGAAAAATTGTGGTATATATGTGTATTAAAAATTGTAATGTAAAAATAACAAAAGTATATGTATAAAGGCATGAATTGTGTGAACATACTTTATATACAGAGATATGAAAAACTGTGCTCTATATGTGTAATAAGTATTGTAATGGGGGCTGAGGATGTGGCTCAAGTGGTAGCATGCTCGCCTGGCATGCATGGGGCACTGGGTTCGATTCTCAGCACCACATAAAAACAAAATCAAGAAATTGTGTCCACCTAAAACTAAAAAATAAATATTTAAAAAAAAAAGAATTATAATGCATTCCACTGCTATTGTGTATAAAAAAAAAATAGAATCAATTAAAGATAAAAAAAAAATTCTGTCAGCCCAAGTTAACAGGCCTTAATATAACCAAAAATAAATCTTATTTTATGGCACCAAAGAGTTCATTAAGCCCATTACCTCAATGCTCTTTTACAGTGTAATTTAAGAGTGGTTGCCAGGGATTAGGGGTGAGGACAAGGGTGACTACAAAGGGGCAACACAAGGCAGTACTTTGGGATAATTAATGCAGAAGTTCTGTGTGCTAGCTGGGTGCAGTGGTGCCTATAATTTCAGATAGTTAAGCAAGAGGATCATAAGTTCAAAGCCAGACATAGCAACTTAGCAAGGCCCTAAGTAGCTTAGTGAGACCCTGTCTCAAAATAAAAAATGAAAAGGGCTGGGGATGTGGCTCAGTGGTTAAATAGCCCTGGGATCAATCCCTGGTACAAAAAAAAAACCCAAAAAAACTGTGTGTCCTGATTGTGGTGGTAGCATTATAGAATCAATGCATGTGTGGAAATTCATAAAACACACATGACCAAAAGTTAACTTTAGGGCTGAGGTTGTGGCTCAGTGGTAGAGCGCTTGCCTAGCACATGCAAGGGTCTGGATTCGGTCCTCAATACCACATAAAAATAAATGAATAGGGCTGGGGATGTAGCTCAGTGGCAGAGTGCTTACTTCGCCTGTGGAAGACACTGTGTTCGATCCTCAGAACCACATAAAAAATAAAATAAAGGTATTGTGTCCATCTACAACTAAAAAAATTATAAATTTTTTAAAAATAAATGAATAAATATAAAGGCATTGTGTCCAACTACAACTAAAAAAAATAAAACCTTTTTAAAAAAATAGGTTAATTTTACTATATAACATCTAAAAAAATAAAACTTTAAAAAAATTTGTCAAGCAAGCAGGTAAGAATCCTTGCTTTCTGTTAAAACTGAACACTGGTATATGCTGACCTAAAAATTACCTTTGTTTGCTTTGATCTATCTACAAAGAGAAACTATAACATGTCCTCTCTGTTTATGGCATACTCAAGGCTATATCATTGTGCGGTTAGTTCGTTCTTTCTCCTAGATGTACAGTATTCCATTGTGTGACCATTACACAATTTATGTATGCATGTTCCTTCTGATGTACTGTGGGGCACTGCTAGTTCTTGCTATTATGAGCTTTATAAGTATGTACAAGAACACAAGCCACAGCTAGTATAGGACAGTGAAAATTAAATCAAACACTCACCAAATATAACTAACCACCCAAAAGAGGATGAATAAATTAGGGTTACAAAAAATAATAATGAGAGCAGCCAGGTGCAGTGCTATACACCTGTAATCTCAGCAGCTTAGAAGGCTGAAGCAGGAGAATCACAAGTTCAGAGCCAGCCTCAGCAACTTAGCGAGGCCCTGAGCAACTCAGTGAGACCCTATCTCTGAATAAAATACAAAAAAGGGCTGGGGATATGGCTCAGTGGTTAAGTGCCCCTGAGTTCAATCCCCAGTACCAATAATAATAATAATAATAATAACAACAACAACAACAACAATAGCAGACTTTAGTTTTCTAAAGTATAATTCAGAAACCAGAAGCTTACACAAAGTGAAGCCACAGATGTAAAGGCTGCCACTTACCTGGAAGAGCTCTTTGAATGAGGGGTGTACCATGGGGTTGGGCACAAAAGGGAGGGCATAGAAAGGAAGGAACTCGGTGGTCTGGCTTAACGCTGCCCCTTTCGTCTCCAGGTAGTTTTTGAAATAAGAAATCCGTTCATCCAGTTCCTGCTTGTCCTAGAGCAGGGAGAAACTTGTTTGAGGTTTCTAGCTCCACAATGGTCCCCCGTTCACCCATCTGCTCTTGAGGTTCCTTGTCACTGGCCTTGTCCCCATCTGGCCTGGTGGGCACACTGTCTCCAGTCATTCTAACATCACCTCAACTTTACCCCTAGTGAAACTTTAACAGAAATGCCAGAAAATTGTATGAACAGTTCAAGACACTGCTTTTTAACTTCATTTTTACCAATTTAATATGACCTCCAAATTCTTCATGAACATCCTTTTTAGTGAAAAGACAAAATCTCATCGAATCTCTCCTACTTTGAGTAGTTCTCCCATTATTAGACATATCCACTGTTTCCACTTTACAGATATTCATGAACATCTGTCTGCATTCCCATGATTCTAAGGGGAGTAGGTATCTCCATAGGTTCTTGAAGGCGAAGTACCCCTGTCACTACTCCTCTCCTTTATCCATCTAGGGGCGGATCCTGCCCCACTTCCCTGCTCCACATGCAACCCAGTGCTCCTCAGTTCCTGTCTCAGGGTTCCTCTCTTCTCTTGGACCTTGATGAGCACACAGAGGAGCTGGATTTGGTGTTTCCCTCCGTGACCTCAGGGGCCCCACAAGTTATAGCCCTCAGCCTGTGGCCTTGTACACACACTAGCTGCTGTCCTCATGGGCACACCTCACTGGACCTGTATGTGGCCCTCTTCCAACCCATCTTGAAAAATGGATGACGTTGATTTTTTTTTCTTACATCAAAACAGAAAAATTTAAAAATAGAAATAAAAACAAATAATAAGTCTCCCATGACCTTCCCCACATGAGTAATATCTTAAAGAACAGACTCCAAGAAAGGGTACTGCAAGGTACCGTAATGCCCCTCCCTCCATCACTGCCCCTTCCTTGGGGCCCCTGACGTTCAGAGTTAACACAGGTCCCCAGGGCAGTGTTAACATGCATGACCACAGATCAACTGGCTTGCTCCCTCTCTAGCACTTCCTCTGAACTACAAGGCTCATCCACCCCAGGGCTTGACACTTCAGCCCTCCACCCTACCGGGAAAAGGTCACGGAAGCTAAATTCAACCTGTCATTCCCATGCACTCTATAAATAGGCAAACTATTCCCCTACTACTTGCGTTTAAATTTATTTCCTAATATGTGGCCCAAAGATGTGTTCTTTTAGAAGTCTGCATATATACACTAAGCTATTTTGATGAGTTTTTCAAAAACTTGAAGTATTTAGATAAAAATTTGATTACAGAAATTATTAAATCTCCATATAAATTAGAAAATAAAGTGCTGGGAATGAGGTGGAAAATAACTTCTCAAGACACAAGATGCTGCACCTTTTGAGCAGAATGATGAAAGAGGACAGAACCAAGAACATGGAAGAGCTGACAACTCCCCCAACCTCCGCCCACCCTTGCCCACCCACCAACCACAGCCAACCCACCGGCCTCCCTACAGAGTACTTCAGAAGATAAATGGCAAAATGAATGTGAAGATAGAATTCCAGCTTCTGAGCAAGGGAGTCACCATCTCGGACGGAACTGGGAACATGCTCCTCCCACAAATCGAAGAACACCTTCTGGTCTCCACCATCAAAGGCAGCCACGAGATCCTTCTGCAGAGAGGACATCAGACTGATCAAGAATTATGAAGGACACTTGTTCACCCAAACCCCTCATAGCCCAGCTAATACTACAGACACCCCACACACCCCTCTTCGGAAGCAGGAAGTAGAAATACAAAACCCCAAGAGACTGCCCATTATTTGGCCATTATTCTTTTTATACTTTCAAAAATGGTTTTAGATATGATTTTCCTATATAATTATCATTTTTAGATTACTTGTTCTATTTATGATCAAGTTTATTAACATTATAAAATGGAAATGTACAGCGAACAAGGTCACAGTGTCTGGTTATACTTACTTAGGTCAAGGACATTCACTAATAAGGATTCTTCAAATGTGACTTTTACAAAAACTATCACCATGTCATGTGATGGAGAACTACTGTTTCAGAAACCTGCATTACTGCAGGAAGTATCTGCATACATTGAACATAAACTCAGAACTTTCCCAAATGAGACTCCAATGAACTTCTACCTCCTCCAAGCCAGCCTCTTTCTGTTGCTCAGCCTTGAAACAGGTCAAGGGCAGCTTACAACAACTCTGGGTGGGGGCTTCCAGGACAAAGCACACAGCCGAGCACAGCTCCTCTTGGGAGACACTGGGGGACCCAGGGAAGAAGGCTCCACACTCTTATGAAAGAATGATATAACAGCAAAGTGGATCTTCCCAGAGGCAGTGCTGCTGGGCCTGGCTCAGCACCAAGTTCATCTCTGACGTGCTCCCAAGCAAACCCTATGAGCCATTCCAGGGGAGGCCTTTACCCTGAGTATCGCAGACCAAGAGCTCTCTATGTGAATGAGGAGAGCACAGACTCCCATGGAATTTGAAGGCCCAGAATCATGGTATTTTCTTTTCTTTCTTCCCTTTTTCTGGGGGGAGAGGTACTAGGGACTGAACTCAGGGGCACCTGACCACTGAGCCACATACCCACCCCTATTTTGTATTTTATTTAGAAATAGTGTCTCACTGAGTTGCTTCTGGCCTCACCACTGCTGACTCTGGCTTTACACTCGTGATCCTCCTGCCTCAACCTCCCAAACTGCTGGGATTACAGGCAAGTGCCACTGTGCCTGGCCATGACATTTTCTTAACATGGCTTACCAGAGCCCACATGTCAAATGGCTCATCTACACTTTGTTCTAAACTCCATTTTTAGTCCTAAAACCACAAGGCTTAGATATCTACTCCAATTTGTTATTTTCTGTTATGTTCATTGGTAATTATCCTGGTGTGTTTAAAGTGTAATACTTCAAACACACTAGGATAATTACCATCCACTCCAATTTATGATTCAGATTTTATACCTAGAAATAGTCCTTGCATTTAAAATATCCTTATGTGTAAAGCAATCCACTGTAAGTACGAGATCACAAACTATTAATGATCTTCTGTAAACCACAATCAGAGCCAGAATCAACAAGATGAGAAAACGTGCATACCACCGGGCACCACTAATAACTCATCAACACATACTTCTTAAAGCACTGTGCCCAGGGAAATGCCATTTGTTTTTGAAGGTCCCTGACAACATATTTTGTTTAACTGCTCTGTGTATTTTTATTTGTGGATCTACTCCAGTGGGGCACAATTACTAACTGGAGGAGCAGAAAAGATACTCTGTGACAATCAAAAAATTTCAAGGTCATAGCCAGGTATGGTGGCACATGCCTGTAATCACAGTGGCTCAACAGGCTGAGACAGAAGAATTGCAAGTTCAAAGCCAGCCTCAGCAACAGCGAGTGAGACTCTGTCTCTAAATACAAAATAGGCTGGAGATGTGGCTCAGTGGCCAGGTACCCCTGAATTCAATCCCCTGTATGCCAAAAAAAGAAAAGAAAAATTCAATGTCTTTCAAGTTACATAAAAATGGACCTGAAGACATCAGAGAAATGTAAATCAGAATCTCAAGATATTACACTTCAGCCGAGTGCAGCAGCGCAAGCCTGTAGTCCCAGCGAGTTGGGAGGTTGAGACAGGAAGATCACGAGTTCAAAGCCTGCCTCAGCAAAAGCAAGGTGCTTAGCAACTCAGGGAGACCCTGTCTCTAAATAAAATATAAAAAAAGGGCTGGGGATGTGGCTCAGTGGATGAGTGCTCCCGAATTCAATTCCTGGTGCCAAAAAAAAAAAAAGCATTACACTTCAAACACACTAGGATAATTACCAATGAACATAACAGAAAATAACAAATGTTGGTGAGTATGTTTATAAAACAGGAAGAGCCAGGTGCAATGTCACATGTCTGTAGTCCCAGCTACTTGGGAGGCTGTTTAAAAAAAAAAAAAAAAAAGGCAAAAAGGGATGGGGACGTAGCTCAGTGGTACACCACCCCTGGGTTCAATCCCCAGTACAAAAAAATCGGCAGGGGTTAGGGGACTTGCATACACTACTGGTAGGAATGTAAAGTGGAGCAGCCACTGAGTAAAACAGTCCAGCAATTCTTCAAATAATTAAAATTTGAACTCTCATACAATCCAGCAATTTCACTTGGGTATTTCATGGATATATATCCAAGAAAATGGAAAGCAAGGTTTTGAAGAAAGATTTGTAATCACATGTTCACAGCAGTGGTCACAAAAGCCAAGAAGTAAAAGCACCCAAGTTACCATCCCGGGAGGAATGGATAGACAAATGTGGTATATACATACACTGGAAATTATCCAGCCTTAAAAAAGAAAAAAAAATCTTGTTACCCACTACAACATGAATGAATGTTCTCATAACTAAGAACATTATGCTGGGTGAAATAAACCAGACATAAAAAGATAAATACTGTATGATTGTACTTATATAAGGTATCTAAAGTAGTCAAATTCATAGACAGAAAATAGAATGGTGGCCAGCAAGGATGGGGTAGAGGGAATTATTTAATGGATGCAGAGTTTCAGGTGTGCAAGGTGAATAAGTTCTGGAAATCTGATTCACAACAATATAAAATTCTTAGCACAACTAAACTATACACTTAAAAATAGTTAAGATGACAAACTTATTATTTTTTTTAATTTTTTTTAGTTGTAGATGGACACAATACCTTTATTTTATTTATTTATTTGTTTTTATGTGGTGCTGAGGATCGAATCCAGTGCCTCACACATGCAAGGCAAGTCCTCTGCCACTGTGTCATAATCCCAGCCCAAACTTGTTATTTTTTAAATAAAAAATTTTTTTAAAAAAAAAGACCCAAAGAGACATTTAGGGTCTCAGAGGCAGCTAGAGCTGGAGCAATGACAAAGCAGTTGCCAGTGCACAAAAGCCATCCAGAGGCACTAGATGTGCCAAGAAGCTCCACAAGCCTTAGCTTGCTGGCCTCATCCTGAATCATCTCAGGACCTGGTTAGGCATGAGCATCGCAGAAGATTCTTACTGTTCTGCTAGTTAGATACTAAGGAGCTACAGTATTCCTCCCAGATGTCAGCCTCAAGCCGCGAGGCTCACATATGCTTCCAACGTGCAGGGCCAAGCACATGGTCCTTCTCCAGGCAGAAGGCATCCAGGTGCTACAAGTGAGGCTGAGCCTGTTTCTACTTCTCTCTCTCTCTCTCTCTCTCTCTTCTTTTTTGGTGGTGCTGGGGATTGAACCCAGGCCTTGTGCATGCGAGGCAAGCTCTCTACCAACTGAGCTATATCCCTAGGCCCCTGTTTCTATTTCTAATAATGACAATATTCTCCTTTTACGTTCTGACCTCTCACTCTGGCTGCTGCTACACCCCACAGAAGTCCATGTCTGAAACAGCAGCAGCAGTCACCACCCAGGCACCCAAGGCCAGAGGGCACTAGGCAGAGGTGCAGGCCTCCTGGAGCTCTAGGGGACACTGCAACAGTGCCCTCCTCAACAATGGCACACAATTGACCACTAGGAAGTCAGGGACTAAGAGAGAAGATGGCTAATAGGCAGCCTGAACTCCAGATCCTTAGGAGCTTGCAAACCAAGCCTCAATTACTTCTGGAAGTAGGTATACTGAAATAAATACATTTATTAAAATAATGAAATTGGGCTAGGGTTATAGCTCAGTAGAGCACTTGCCTTGCAAGTGTTGTTATCCTCAGCACCACATAAAAATAAATAATAAAGATATTGAGTCCATGTTAAAAAAAGAATCTTAACAAAAGCATAATAATAAGCCAGACGTGGTGACACACGCCTATAATCCCAGCAGCTCAGGTGGCTGAGGCAGGAGGATCATGAGTTCAAAGCTAGCCTCAGAAAAAAGCAAGGTGCTAAGCAACTCAGTGAGACCCTGTCTCTAAATAAAATACAAAATAGGGCTGGGGATGTGGCTCAGTGGTTGAATGCACCGGAGTTCAATCCCTGGTGCAAAAATCACAATAATAATTATAATAATAATATCACCTGAAGGTGATACAGGCTTCCTTGTCAGTATCACTTGTTCTCTTGTCACTGGCAACATTCAAGGTGAACTGATCACACCCGAAATGGTACAAATGGAACCGAGGCATCTAACGATGAAATGAGGAGTTTAAGGTCCTTTCTATCCTTGGAAAATTCCAAATCTCTGTGCTCATTGCAGCCTGCTGGTATTCAGAGCTGCCTCAGGCTTTCTTTGTGGTAGGACACTGCCTTGTCATTATCACTCTTGCTCCTGGTCCCCTTCAATCTCCCAAAGCACTGTGAGGCAGAGGACTGGTTCTGCTTTGGTTGTCAATGCTCCATCCCTAGTACCTAGATTAATAATCTCAGGATAGAAATTACACTATCCTGGTTCCTATAGTTTCTTCTTCTTCTTCCCCCAAAATATGAAAGTTCTTATTTGGCCACCCCTTTCCTATGTAGGGAACAGAGATTTAAAGATGAAGCAATTAATTCACCTATAAACACTCACATGGTCTAAAGTAACCCTGGGCAAGTCCCCAGAAACGATTCCATCATTATTCAATATGCTGCAAGTTGAGAGAACCTTAATTCTCTACAGAGATGAAAAATAAGCAAAATGTTACCTGAATAATCAATGATTTGGAGTCCCTTAAAGATCCACCTGCTGTTTTACACAACGGTTTTCCTTTTACTTTGCATTCTTTTGAAAATGTTTTCAAGGTGTCTTCAAATTCAGCAAAATCTAAATACTATAAAAGAGATCATAAAACTCAGCAGGAAAAAAAAAAACACACAAATAATCAATTTAAAAACAGGCAAAGGACCTGAACAGATATTTCTCCAAAGACACACAAAGGCCAACAAGTATATGAAAAGGTGCTCAACATCAGTACTTATAGGGAACCACTGTATACCTGAAATTTGCCAAGAAAATAGATTTTAAGTGTTCTCACCACCAAACAAAACAAATGAAAAACCCAGTTAACTATTTATTAATTAGTTTGATTGTGGTGATCATTTCACAATGTATACCAAAACACCAAGTTCTAGGGCTGGGGATATGGTTCAGTGGTACAGTGGTTGCCTACCAAGTACAAGGCACTGGGTTTGGTCTCTAGTACTTCAAAAAAAAAAAAAGAAAAAAAAATCAAGTTCTTATACCTTAAATATACACATTTTTGGCACCTATGCCTTAATAATTTTAAAAAAAGAACATCATTGAACATGTATCGTACATATATTTCTGTTTTCATATCAACGTGTAACTGTCTGATATTATTGTACCAGCTCAATATTATAACGAATTTATAAAGAACTTAGTAAACTGCTATCTTTAGGAGAATATGGGATTCAGCTTAAAATTTACTTATAAGTATGCACTATAAAAGCCTAGAAAAAAAGTATCACAGAAAATGTAAAAAAGTATTTCAGAAAATAAAGCTGCTTTCAGGAGGAAAGTGTGAGCTACATGATTTGCTATTAATTATTATTTTTTAATATTTATTTTTTAGTTGTAGTTGGACACAATACCTTTATTTTATTTATTTATTTTTATGTGGTACTGAGGGCCACGCACATGCTAGGCGAGCACTCTACCACTGAGCCACAGCCACAGCCCACTATTAATTATTAATAGAAAAAAATGACTTGTGCAACATTTTCAAAGAGGTGAAAGGGATCAGCAGAAGACCTGATGGATTTGGATCCAGTAGGTCCCTGGGAATTTGATACTTAAAACAGATGGAATCAGAAATCATGTATGTTCCTAAGAACAGGAGAATATAAATCATTAAAATATAGGTAATGTTGCTAGAGATGTAGCTCCATGGCACAGACACACACACACACACACACACAGGGGATGTAGCTCAAAAATAAAATGCCTTTGGGTTCAATACCCAGGACCAAAAATATTTTTTAACTTTAAAAAATTAGATAAAATAGAGGCTGGGGCTGTAGCTCAGAGGCAGAGTGCTTGCCTAGGATGTGTGAGGCACTGGGTTCGATCCTCAGGACCACATAAAAATAAACAAATAAAATAAAGGCATTCTGTCCATCTACGACAAAAAAAAAAAATTTTTTTAATTAGATAAAATACAAATTTTTCTGTGACCCGTGTTTTAAATAACATACCTACCTCTTTTACTAGTCCAAGTAATTCAGATTCGTGAGCTAAAATATCCCCCATAGTGAACTGTTACTAGGAATTCTCACAGCAAAATTCTACAAGGCAAAAACATAAGACAAGGTTTCACTTCAATCACCTGAGAAGTCCAAAAGGGTGGCTGTGATAGGCAGAATAATGGCCCCCAGGATGTCCATGTCCCAATCCCTAGAGCCCGTGAATATGGGTGGCGACATGGCAAGGAGGAATTAAGATGGGTAATCAACGGACCTTCAATGACAGGGACTGACCTGGATCATCAGGCAGCCCCAAGAGGATCACTGAGGGCATCAAGAGCAAGAGGGAGGCAGGGGGGCGAGTGTCAGAGTGATGAGATGGAGAAAGACACAACTGGCCACTGTGGGCTTTGGAGATGGAGGAAGCACAAGGAACAAGGAAGCAGGACAGCCTCCGGAAGCCGGAAAAGGCAGGAATGGATTCTCCCCGACAGCTCCACAAAGGAACAGCCCCACCAACACCTTGATTAGCCAGTGAGGACCATTTCAGACTTCTGATCTCCAGAACTGTAAGAAAATAAACTGGCTCTGCTTCAAGCCACTGAGTTCATGAGAATTCATCACAGCAGCAGAAGGAAGCACAATAGTGAGGTCGAGAGCACTGTCTGCCCTCCCTCTCCAAGCCACGCAAGCAGCCTGCCTGTGGCCCACCACTTACCCCAACTGGGTGCCACCACCCTAAGGAATTAAAGAAGGTGGGGTCCCAATACTAACTGTGCCATTCACTGGCAAATCACTGAAACTTAGAGCCTTTTTTCATTTACAAAACAGAAATGAGATCTCTTCCAGTTCTAAGGATGTATGAACCTGAACTTGACCCTTTTCTGCCAGTACATTTGGTCAGAATTATCTGAACACAGGGAGGTTAAATTCAGTAGCTGTCCCCCACTTGCTCTATCTCACTATCACTGTCTTGGGGACTTCATCTCTCCACCTCCTCTCTTCACTTTACTCCAATCTCTGCACCAGGAACAGGGACTTCCCCTCCTGCTCAGGACCCTACAGATGAAGCCAGACTCCCTAGGCCCAGTTCTCTAAGCATTTAACAGCCTGGCCTCTTATATTCTCCCTTTTGTTGTACAGACTTGAGCCACACTGGCCACCCTGCAGTTCTAGTGGACACAGACAGCCACTGGACACCCAAAGCACATGCTCTGCATGAGCTGTTTCCTCTACTTCACTACCCTGGCTGCAGGTACCCACAGTTCATTCAAGTGTCTGCTTAAACATCTCCCCTGAGACACCTGTTGGCCACCCTCTAAGTGGTCCTCTCCTGGCCTCTGCTCTGACTTTCACATCTTCTCAGTGATGCACCTGCTCACTGTCTGCTCTTTCCCTGCACCAGGCCATGGATCCTGAGAACACAGGCTTCCCTGGCATCCCCAGTGCCCAGACCAGTGCCGGGCACATTGTAGGTGTTCAAGAACACTCACGAAGGAGCAGAAATAACTTTAGGTCTGAAGAAAACAAGATAAGCAGAGCCTAGAGGAGACCGAAATGAGATTATTTTAGATGGGGTAGTCAGAGAGGCCTCACTGGGCCCATAACATTTGAGTAAAGACTAAGCCCTGCCAGGGGCAGTGGTGCTTGTAAATCCCAGCAACTCAGGAGACTGAGGCAAGGGGATCACAAGTTTAAGGCCAACCTCAGCAACTTAGTGAGGCCCTCAGTAACTTAGCGAGATTTGTCTTAAAAAAAAAAAAAAAAAGGGCTAGGGATGTACCTCAGTGATAAAACACCTCTGGGTTCAATCCCTGGTACCCACCCCCCAAAAAATAAAGACTAAGTACTGAAAAGAAGGACTCTACACAGACCTTGGACAGAAGGGCTCTGGAGTGCTTCGGTGCTGGGGTATAGCAAGAGGAGATGAGCAAGATAGACAGTGGAAGGCAGTAAGGAGCCAGGGGCCAGGGAAGGTGGGCCTAACGGGGTCAGTAAGCAGCTTGACCATTAGTCTGAGGCAATCGAATGCCCAGAGGGAGCAACGAGGAAGACTGATGAAACAGCATTTCCATTTTGTGACCAACCTGATGTCTGATGTTCAGGGAAGAGACTGCAGGGACCGAAAATGGAGGACTGGAGGATGCTATCCCAAGATGCACACCATAGACTAGTGTAGGCTTCCTGAGTAATAGAAACCAGGAGCCATGTTCTGACTCCAGATGTTAAAGGCAGAAGTGCTCACCTGCTGGGGACTGTGTGCATGATGATAGGGGAAGTGAAGACTGGCAGCTTGGTCTGAGCAGCTGATGAATGGTATGAAATTTGCTGAGACAAAAAAATTTGGAGAGGGACAGAGCCCCCTGATCAGAGATGAAATCAAGCAATGTGTGTGGCTATATGTCTAAGAGGACTATTTACAAATCAAGTGGGGGCTGGGGATATAACTCAATTGGTAGAATGCTTCCCTCGCATACACAAGGCCCTGGGTTCAATCCCTAGCACCACAAAAAAAAAAAAAAAAAAAAAAAAATCAAGTGGAAGCTGGGCGCGGTAGCACATACCTGTAATCCCAGAGGCTCAGGGGGCTAAGGCAGGAGGACTATGAGTTCAAAGACAGCCTCAGCAACTTAGCAAGGCCCTGAACCACTTAGCAAGACTCTGTCTCAAAAAATTAAAAGGGCTGGGGATGTGGCTCAGTGGTTCAAACCCTTGTACCAAAACATAAAAAAAAAATAATAATAATAATAATAATCAAGTGGAGGTGCTAAAAATTTGGTGGATATCTGTGTCTGGAGCTGGAGACAAGCGTGGGGAAAATATGGGTGTGAGCAAAGAAAGGAACACAGTCAGTGAAGAGAAGTAGAACAAGAAATAAGATAACTGGCTGGGAGGAAGTATGCTGGCAGTCTGGAGAGAAGGGAGGTGACTATGGCAGCAAGGCAGGCTTTCTATCATGGAGTCCACTGAAGACGCGTGGACTCCAATCTAAATGGTCCCAGCCTAAAGACTGGCTCCCGGCACTTTCAAAGGTGAAGCTAACTTTCCAACAGAAAGAAGGAAAACAAGATTAACAGTGAGTGGGCACCGAAGCTAAGCTGGGTTATGAATGGGGGCAAGGGAGGCCAGTAATGGAGCTTAGACAGTGAAAAGGTGATGGGTGAATGCTCTGCAAAGGGGGCACAGTAAGGCAAACGGAAGCTTGGAAGACACAAGGTGTGGTCACAGAGGGGGAGGCACGATGGCAGTCAAGATTTTGGAGGTGACATAGTAATAAAAAGCTCACAACCACAGGAGCAAGTGGATGAGGATGGAGGGAAAAGATGCCCATAGCTGAGGAGGATGAGGAAAGTGGAGAAGCCAGGAAGCTGAAATCTCCAAAAAGGAAGTAGAAAAAGTGGAAAAGGAAACTTGGCAACTTGCCCTGGAAATGACTGCCTTAAGGAGGGGTGGCAAGTGTCACAGAGCACAGCACGAACTTCAGAGGGAAAGGGGGATGTGAACAAAAAAGCTGGAGATCCAAAAGCAGCAACAGGACACGTCCTCCAGACCTGACAGGCACATAAGGTGGGAAAAGAAAGTTAGTTCATGTCTAAAGCCCACCCATCTCTCCAGCCTTCATCTCATCCCTCTCCCTGCTCCCTCCAGCTCGCCCTGCTGATACTGAACTCAGGTTATTCCCCACACAACATGCTCTTTAGGGATTCTAAGCCTGGGGTGCTTTTGCAAATGAAAATTCCTGCCCCGAGCCTGCTCTTACTGATGAGCTGCAAGGCAGGAAGGCCAGAATCTGCCTTTTAAACGAGCTTCTTGGATGCCTTCCACACACACTCAAGTTTGAGAACCAGGGTTTTACTTTATGCAAAAGTAGGAGAAATTCCAGTCACGGGTGGGGTTTGTAATAGCGGCTTCTGAATTTCTATGAGAGAAATGTAGGGCCTACAAACTGGCCGGATCCGGGGGAGGCTATGGCATTTGTACGGAAAACTAATCTGCACACAAGCATCGCGTCCGCTTAGATTAGATGAAGTCTGGGCTTAACCTGGGCGCCTGAGGAGGGGAGCCAGCTGATGAACATTACTACGGAGGTGGCAGGAACCTAAAGCCCTGGCCACCCGCACGGCCGCCCTCCAAGTTGCGGGACCCGCTCCAAGTTTGGCCACGGTAGCAAAGATCAGGGACTACTTGCGGCAAGCAGGGGCCCGGTCCTTGGAATTCCCGGCGGCCGCCTCGGGCCGAGGGCGCAGGCGAGAGGCGCGGGCATCGGGGTTTTCCTGGGGGCGAGGGGTCAGCAGCTCTCCGGCCGCACCACGGCTCCTCCCCGCCCGGGGACCGCGGGCTCCCGGTGGCCCCCGCGGCGTCGAAGGACATGCTTACCAGCTGCTCCGCGGACACCTCTCCCGCCGTCACCCGGGCAACCGCCGCCGCCGGCTTAGAGTCACGTGGGGCGGCGCAGCCAATCACTCAGGACGCTGCCTGCGCTGAGCAGCCTGGGAGGAAAGGCGGGCGGCCGAGCGCCCCAGGCGGTGGAAGTGAGGCTGCGCTGCGTGATGGTCGGCTGGTCATCGCGCGCTGTCTCCAGGCCTTCGAGAACTGTCTGTCCATCGGAACGTTCGTTCGTTCATTCATTCACTCACTCACTCATTCATTCATTAATTCATCCCACGGACGGTGCCAGGCGCTGTGCGGGGCTCGGGGTTGAGTCGGAGCAGGCTGAACCGCCGAGCGCAGGGAGCTCGCTGTGTCCTAGAACAAAACACGCCCAGAGGTGACAGTAAACTCTGCTCCCAGGAGAGAGAGAAATAGGCCTGGATATTCCCCTTTACAGGATGCCTGGGGCCACCACAGAACCCGAGGTCTACCTTAAAGCCCCGGGCACCAGGGTTCCATGCCACTGCAGCAGTTTCCAGGAATATTGGGACACTTTTTTGTTTTGTTGTCCATGTTAAATTTGGGTTTTGAAAAACAAAAAGGGAACGCAGATATTTGCGCCTGGTGCTTTTGAACTAAAATTAAGCAGAACTCAGTGACCATCTGCTGGTGGCCAACTCTGGGCCAGAGGCTGGGGAGGTGGCCCTAGGAGGAGAAAATCCCCCCACC